AATCAATTTTTACAACATAAATAATCGATTAAATGGTACTGACTTCGAACCACTAATCTGAATAAAATTCTAATCAATTTTTAGTAAGTAAGTAATCGATTTTCGGCCACTGTTCATCATCTTCTTCCTCGGGTCAGTTTTAACATTATCATTTTTAATCACCAAACTTCAATTTAATTATATAAAAATGTTCTCCAATGTTCACAGATCATTTTAGAGTCATTAATTCGTAATTTTAACAACAATTTCATGGTTTATGATTCTTGGTTCTTCAAACATGTCAAACACAAAACTCAACCAAACGACCATTTATGAACGTAGAAACGATCTATACGAACATTCTAGTCACTAGATATATCTACGGGCTTACCTCGAAGCTTAATGCAGGTTTTTGGAAATTTTCCGGCGAAACTTCCGGCAATGATATCTCTTAACTCCGACGACTTCACACCAAATTGACAACACCACTACGTTTTCCTCACTCAGAGCAACAGAATAAGATGAAATATTTTGAGAAATGGTGAAGAAATTGTTAAGCTTTGGTAGTCTTATATAGGAAGGAGATGGGGAAAACTTCCAAGCCTGCTGNTGGTTCCAGTCGGGGTACACTTTTTGGTCCAACTTTCTCCAAATTGAAATCCGTTCGCACCGTTGCGATCAGACAGTCGAATTCTATTCAACGACATACTTTTCATAATTATTTGTAATACTTTTTCCGACATCATATTTTTTGGTGGTGGACTTTGATAGAGTAAAACTTGGTTTAATTGACTTTTCTCATAAAAGGTTCTCTTATTTAATTCATATCAATTATTCTCATGATTTATTTTAACAAATCATTTAAATATTTACATAATAAACAAATTTTTCATTTACTCTTGATTTGGGTCTGTACTATGGTTCCCAATCAATATCACACAATTAGTCAACATATTGGATTTATCTCTATGAGACTTATCCAGATTTTGATATTGGAAATTAAAACATATTTCATATCGGCCCAAAGCCCAACAATAATTTATTTTAATCAAAACAAATTTGATTAATTGAATTATTCATTAATAATTTTAGGATATGTTTTGGGGCGTTACATGCCTGAAGGGGTAAAACCCATTGGATGCAAGTGGGTCTTCAAAAAGAAGACAGACGTAGACGGGAAGGTTCATACCTTCAAAGCTCGATTGGTAGCAAAAGGTTATAGGCAAATCCACGGAATTGACTATGATGAAACTTTTTCTCCAGTTGTTATGCTGAAATCCATTCGAATAATGCTTGCGATTGCAGCCTATTACGATTACGAAATTTGGCAGATGGACGTCAAGACGGCTTTCCTTAACGGGAACCTCAAAGAGGATGTCTTCATGACACAGCCTGATGGTTTTCAAAGTGCTGGTCAGTCTGCCAAAGTTTGTAAACTGCAACGTTCAAACTACGGATTGAAACAAGCATCTCTGAGTTGTACATACGTTTCGATGAAACCATTTCCAGTTTTTGTTTCGAGAAGAACTCTGACGAATCTTGTGTATACAAGAAAGTCAGTGGGAGTGTAATAGTATTCCTAATCTTATATGTCAATGACATATTGTTAATGGGTAACGATATTCCCGCTCTCACTTCTGTAAAGACGTGGTTGAGCGAGAACTTCTCCATGAAAGACTTAGAGGATGCTAGTGTTAGACAAATGTGCAATTCTAGAGAGGGGTGAATGTTGGACATGAGTTCAAACCCTTTTATTATTTCTTCTAGAATATTTTTTTTGTTTTGATGAATGACAAACAGGATAATTAAATTCAAGCTGATCGGAAATTTATTTTTCGTATCGAGAAAAGCAAAGAGGCGTATCAAGATTTTTTTTCGGTGATAAAATTAACGCTCACCCCTACGCAGTTTTTGAAGTAAAGATTCTAAAGACCTTTTTTTTATTGAGTCTAGGAATTTTTGTAAGGATGAAAATAACTTTTGCATAAACAAATTATTTTTTTTGAGATAAAAATTATTATTTTCTGAGTCAGTTGAAAAATTATTTTTCCTCTGTCTAAAAATATTTTACTGAGTCAGTTTCAAAATAGTGTGTCAAAATTTCTTAAAAATATTTTTTTTTGGATACACATTTTTTTATGGTAAGAAAAATACACTTTAAATATTTTTTTGTACATCGTTTAACACACAAAATAATTTTTGGACTCATTTTTTTCTCCCCTACTCAAATACATTGAATAGGAGACGTTATTATTTGAGGAGCGTCCATTGATATTCTCGTTGTCCAAAACAACGAGTAAGAAGCCAATGCCCTTCTCATCGCACTTGGCTTGGGCCCTTTATGTTTGCGCATTATTCCCACTTTAATCGATTAAATTTTCTAAATTAATCGATTAGATCCAGTTCCTTAGCGTTGGATTTCTCAGGCCTTCAGTATAAATCGAGTTTTTTTATTCATTTAATCGATTAGTGCTCACAGCGCAGTCTAATCGATTTTTCCATCAAACTTAATCGATTAAGATTGCATTCTTCGCTGAAAACTTTTTCCAATTAATCGATTTTTATTCTTCACCTTAATCGATTAGTTCAGACAGCGTCGTCTAATCGATTACTTTCTCCACTTTAATCGATTAATTTTGTCTGGTGCCTATTCTCAGCCTGCTCCAACGGTTCTATTTTCTTCAGCCTATTTACTCCCTCATTCTCCTTCATTTTAAGAAACAACTCTTGCACTCCAATATCTTTATTGAGCTATATTCATTTCTTGCTTCCATCTTCCTCATCAAATATTATTTTGAGAGTTAGAAATATTTTCATTGAGTGCTAAAGAAATTGTCATCCATAGAACTTTCATATTTCAACACTTATTGCTCAATTGTGTGAGCTTTCATTCTTGTGTTGTAAACTCAATCCTATTTGAGTCGTGCTAAGACTTATGTAATTCAAGTCTTGTTGTTGTTAAGGCTTGTGTGACTCAAGTGTTGTTGTAAGAAGTTGAGGCTTGTGTGATTCAAGTTCTCGAGTTGTACCGGTTTGTCAAGCATCCGTTGAAGCTTGAAGTTTAGTAAGACTTTCGAGAGAGTCTCTCGGAGGACTGGACTAGCCACGATGTGGTGAACCAGTATAAATCTCAGTGTTCTTCTTTCCTTTACTTTTTAATTTATTCTTGCGATTTTTATATCACACACGCGAAAAACGCACATTTTTGAAAACAACTCTATTCACCCCCACTCTAGAGTTGCACATTTGTCTAACAGTGAATAGACTTATTTTCAAGAATGTGCGTTTTTCGCGTGTGTGAAATAATAAAATCGCAGGAATAAATAAAAGGAGTAAGGGAAAGAAGAACACCGAGATTTATATTGGTTCACCACCTCGTGGCTAGTCCAGTCCTCCGAGTGACTCTCTTGAAAGTCCTACTAATATTCAAGCTTCAACGGGTGCTTGAAAAACCGGTACAACTTGAGAATTTGAATCTCACAAGCCTCACTTTTCTTACAACAACAAGACTTGAGTCACACAAGTCTTAAGAACAACACTCAAATAAGATTGAGTTTAGAACACAAGAATGAAGCTCACAAAATAGCAAGTAGTGTTTAAAATGTAAGTTTCCTATGGATGACAATATCTTTGCACTCAAGAGAAATAATATATATAAATCTAGCTCTCAAAATAGTATTTGATTATCAAGAGATGGAGCAAGAATCAAAAATAATGAATGAGAGGATTGGAGTGCTTGCATTGTGTTTTGAATGAAGGAAGAAGAGGGATTATATAGGTGAAAGAAGGATATGTCCGTTGGGGCAAGAAATTGGCTAAGTATGAGATTCAACAGACAAAAAATCGATTTGTTCAAAGAGGGAAAATTGATTGGATGCTTCTGAGTAAAATTTCTTCTGCGCTAAGCTGGCTAATCGATTAAATTTGAACTTGTTTAATCGATTTTTAAAAGAAATCGATTTCCCAAAATGTGAAGAAATCGATTAAAAAAACTGGGCAAGAAAACCCAATCAGCGACAGAGAGGAAATCGATTTTCAAACAAATAGAAAATTGATTAATACTGCGAATTTCTCAGAGACAGCAAGAATCAACCAGTGGCGAGATAGAGAACGACAATTGTCCTTATTTTGTTGTTCCCAACATGATTCTTGAGACAAAGGCTCCCAATCAAATCCTAAGTTTATTCAAAAAAAAATTTGAATCAATGGGGTGATTTGAGATAAAGGGTATAGAAATTGAGTCAAAAAATTATTTTGTGTGTCAAACGATGTCAAAAAAAATATCTGGAGTAAAAGTATTTTTGCTTCCCAAAATTATTTTTCTACTATCAAAAGAAATATTTAAAATTGTTTGACACATCTTTTGTAACTGACTCAATAGATTTATTTTTGAATCATTAAAGGATTTTTTTATTAGACTCCAAAAATAAATATAAGTTTTTTTAAAAAAATGAATATCCCTCAATAAAGTAAGTTTATAAATAAAAAGATATTTTGTCACCCTTACAAATTTCCTAGACTCAAAGAAGTAAAAGTCTTCGGAAAGCTTCTCTTTACTTCAAGATCTTGCGTAGGGACAATGAATGGTAGTCGTTGTGAATTTCTTGATGTGTCTTTTTCTTTCTTGAACCGAAAATTAAATTTTCGTTCTTCGTAGCGTTTGTCATTTATCAAAACCTGAAAGATTAATTTCAAAAAAAATATCTAAAAGGGTTTGAACTCATGTCCAACAATTTCCCCCTTTTTGATAATGACAAACATAGTTGAGATAAGAGCAAAATAGTCAGAAAAAACTTTCCTTTGATTGAAGAGTTCCCCCTGCAAGTAAGAAGTAAATGGAAGTAAAACGGAGTGATAGCGGAAAACGTTTTGAAAAGATTTTCTCAACTATCCTTCCTTCCCCCTTTTCGCATTATCAAAAGGTCCTTCCCCCTTAAGCTAAGCCAGGGTAGTTAAGGATAGCCAAAAAAAACAAGTTTCGAAAAAATTTCGAAAATTTTTGCAAGATTTTCCCTTAAAAGTTAACTAGTTCTATTTGATTTTCAAAGGGACAATATGTTCTAGGAGAGAAACATATTGCCAAACAATCACATAAGCAATAATAATTGGAGTTTAAACAAACAACCAACAAGGAGCTATCATAATGTCATAAACAAGAATCAAGTCATGATAAAAAAAATCATTAGTCCTTAAAGTTTAAAAACAAGGTCAAAGAGAATTTGCCGGCCTATGTCCTCCAGAAACGCTATGACGTGGACCTCGGTATGAGCGAGAGTAGCGAGAATCCTCAAGGCGGGAGACTCGAATGGTAAGATGTCTGATGTCATCACGAACACATGTGATGGCATCCAAAATCCTCCAGACCCAAGAAGGCTCGGTCTCATCCGCTCTCGGTTTTGGGCGTTGGCGTCGGGCTTCTCTTACCGTGGCTCGGCTAGTTTCTTCCCCTGCATTGCTTGTTCCTTCGCCAGCATTGCTAGGTCCAGCTCTAGAGCGGCTACGAATGGCCTTGGTCTCGGCTTCACTCTCAAGGATGCCTTCAGTTTGCTCGATCACTCCTTGTTGAGGCATTTCACCCTCGTTCTGGCAAACGAAACGGATGAACTTCGTCTCTTGGATGAAGCACGTCTTCGTCACCGGTACCCTTATGTCCCGTGAAAAGTCCACCCCCGAATTGAGAAGGATCAGCATAATAGGGACGGAAAAATGAAGGTGATGGAGTCGAGAGCCATCACGTAGAGCAATGAGAAAGAAATGGATCCAATCAAATTTGACATCGTTCAAAAGAACATGAAACAAGCGGATATCATCCTTTTTAACGACGCCATGGTTTGAGTCTCGAGGCAACAAGACATAACAAAAAATGTATTGAAGAACCCGTTGTGTCAAAGTGAGATTGGTGACACTCGGGTTTGAGGAGTTGGCGTATGAAAGCCTATGAAAAGGGACGCCGATTTGTTGCCAAATGGTTTTGTCCTCAAAGGTGTTGTCAAAATTTCCACGGATGTCACCTTGACAGAGACCAAGAATAGCCGTCAAGGTCTTTGCGGTAACCGTAATGGTTTTGCCGTCAACATCAGCAACCAAGTCCGGATTATCTCCGAGAGTGATGCGGAGAGTTGAATAAAATTGACAAATGAGATTAGGACAATAAAAGTCATATTTCAAAGAGATAAACTTTAGCAAACCTTGCCATTGGAAGGGAGCTTTGCACGGGGCATAGGTTACGTCATTGAAGAGGGCCGGCTCAACGATCTTTGGTGAGATAATCTCCCTGTCCAGAAACTCTTTGTGGAACTTCTCAACATCCGAGGTGTTGGCGAAACGGATGTTGGATTGAGTATGGACGTAGGTTAGGCTGTCCAATCTCCAAATCGCACCTAAGGTTGGGACGTGAGGCGGCTTCTCCGGTCTTCTCCTTGGCATTTTGATGAAATTGAAGATGAATTTGGGAGAAATTCAAAGAAATTTGGCCAAGAATTTGAAGAAAAGAGCGAGGAAATCGAACCTAGGGTTCGTTGGTGCTCGTCGCTGCTTGAGGAAGAAGAAGGGTTTAGATCTGATTTGATTCAGATTGGATATTTGATGCACTGAAATGAATAATAAATCAATTGCGTAAGAACGGCTAATCGATTTCGAATGATGAGCAGAGGCAGTAACTCGCTCAGACTATCCTAATCGATTAAACTAGAAGTTACTAAATCGATTAGAAGAAGTAACAAATAATCGATTAGATAGTAGTGGAGACCAAAAAAACAGTTTTGAAGGGTGCTGAAACATTTGTTGTGGAAGGGTTTACAATGAACGGTATTTTTCTCAAAAAAAATCATCAATTTCAACCAAAAATTTTGCCAAGAAGAGAAATACCTGTAAAAGACCCTGCAAAAAAGATTTATTGCATCTCCGATGCTCAAGTTAGTACATATAAACACACGAATAGATGAGTTCATTGAGATGTCCAAAATACCAAGTTCATTCCTAATGTGGAAGAAACTCTCCCTACTAAGGGGTTTCGTGAAAATGTCCGCCAATGGATGTTTCGTTTCAACAAACTCAATTGTGACATCTCCCTTTTGGACATGATCTCGAATGAAGTGATGCCTAATTTCTATGTGTTTAGTCCACGAGTGAAGAACGGGGTTCTTTGATAGAACAATAGCACTCATATTGTCACACCTAATTGGGATGTGATCAAGTATGAGGCCGAAATCCACTAGTTGCTGTTTTAGCCAAAGCATTTGGGCACAACAACTTCCGGCAGCGACATATTCCGCTTCGGTGGTGGAAAGTGCAACACTAACCTGCTTCTTACTAAACCACGAGATTAGAGAATGACCGAATAAGTGGCAAGTACTGCTGGTACTTTTCCTATCGAGTTTGCAACCTGAAAAATCTGAGTCGGAATAGAGATGACATGTCGAACCTTTGGGATACCAAAGACCTACGTTCAACATGCTCGCGAGATATCGCATAATCCTTTTGATTGCAACCAAGTGCGACTCTTTAGGACATGATTGATACCTAGCGCATATACAAACAGAGTACATGATATCCAGTCTACTCGTGGTAAGGTAAAGTAAAGATCCGATCATACCTCGATAGCGTTTGATATCTACCTCTTTACCTTTTTCGTCCTTGTCGAGATAACAAGAGGTGCTCATTGGCGTGTCAATGGATTTGGATTCGGTAACATCGAATCTCTTAAGCAATTCCCTGCAATATTTCCTTTGACACACGAATGTTCCTTCTTTGCATTGTCTAATTTGCAGCCCAAGGAAGAATTTTAATTCTCCCATCATCGACATTTCAAATTCACTTTGCATCATATCGGAAAAATCCCTGCACAAAACCTCGTTAGTAGCACCGAATATGATATCATCTACGTAAACTTGAACCAAAAGGATGTCTTGGTTATCTTTCTTGATGAATAGAGTAGTGTCGACTTGACCCCGTTTGAACTCATGGTCCAAAAGAAATTTGCTTAATCGTTTATACCAAGCACGAGGTGCTTGTTTGAGACCATAAAGCGCCTTTTTGAGTTTGAAGACATGTTCGGGAAACTTAAAGTCTTCGAAACCCGGGGGTTGTTCTACATACACTTCCTCTTGAATGATACCATTAAGGAAGGAACTTTTAACATCCATTTGATAAAGTTTAAAATCCATCGTAGATGCAAATGCAAGTAATAAATGAATAGCTTCTAAACGTGCAACCGGTGCATAAGTTTCTTCATAATCAATGCCTTCTTCTTGATTGTAGCCTTTAGCTACAAGCCTAGCTTTGTTTCTAGTGATTACTCCGTTTTTGTCGAGTTTGTTACGAAACACCCATTTTGTGCCAATAACGGAATGATCATTAGGGCTAGGCACAAATTCCCAAACATCATTTTGATTAAATTGGTTAAGCTCCTCTTACATTGCCATAGACTAGTGGTCATCATTAATAGCATCCAAAACGGTTGTTGGTTCAATTTGAGAAACAAAGGCCATGTGATTTATTGTGTTCCTAAGAGAATTACGAGTAGAAACTCCCTGCGTTATTTCACCAATAACGTTGTCAATCCGGTGATTCTTCAACATTCTCCACTCCTTAGGAAGCTCCGTTTGCTCCTGCATTTTCTCTTCTTCCGGTTCCTTTTCCTTAACGATTTCTTCTTCATCGTCATAAGAACCTGCAACATTATCAACAATACCTTTTCTCGCCAAGCAAGCATCAAATTCATCCAAGACAACATGAATAGACTCCTCTACGGTCTTAGTACGCTTGTTGAACACTCTATATGCCTTACTACGAAGAGAATAACCTAAGAAAATTCCTTCATCCGACTTAGCATCAAATTTTCCCAAATTATCTTTTCCATTATTATGAATAAAAACTTTACATCCAAACACATGAAAATAGGAATGGTTAGGCTTTCTTCCTTTGTAAAGTTCGTAGGGCGTTTTCTTGAGTATCGGTCTAATGACGGCTCGATTTAACACGTAGCATGCGGTACTCACGACATCCACCCAAAAATATTTAGGAAGGTTAGCCTCATTGAGAATAGTTCTAGCCATCTCTTCAAGAGATCTATTTTTCCGTTCAACCACTCCATTTTGTTGTGGTGTACGGGGGGGCGAGAAGTTATGCTCAATGCCTAATTCGTCACATAAGGCTTCAAAGCCATCTTGATCGAATTCTCCCCCATGATCACTTCTAATGGATGAAATGTGACAATCTTTTTCATTTTGAACCAATTTGTTAAATTTCTTTAAAACATTAAGAGCATCATACTTATGAGCAAGAAAAAGTGTCCATGTAAACCTCGAATACTCATCAACGATAACAAAGCCAAAGTAATTACCTCCTAAACTCATAGTCCTTGAAGGTCTAAAAAGGCCCATGTGCAAAAGTTGTAATGGCCTAGTCGTAGAAACAACGTTCTTTGACTTAAACGAGGCCCTTACTTGCTTCCCCTTTTGACATGCATCACAAATTAGATTCTTCTCAAACCTAAGTTTTGGAACACCAATTACTAAGTCTTTAGAAACCAACTTATTAAGATGGTCCATATTAACGTGAGCTATCCGACGATGCCATAACCACGTTTCTTCCTCTTTGGTAATGAGGCACTTAGCTAAGATAGACGGGGAATTTTCAAGATCAAACATGTAAATGTTATCTACTCTACTACCACAAAGAATAGTCCTATTGTCACACAAGCGTTCTACAATGCATTTACTAGAATCAAAGATGACACGGTTACCTCTATCGCACAATTGACTAATGCTAAGAAGGTTGTGCTTGAGGCCCTCAACAAGAAGAACGTTCTCAACGGTTGTAGCATTGTCTCTCCCGACGGTGCCACTTCCAATGATCCTTCATTTGTTGTTGTCACCAAAAATGACATTGCCACCTTTGAAATACTCTAAACTCCTAAATTTGGATGCATCTCCGGTCATGTGCTTGGAGCATCCGCTATCGAGATACCAAGAGGTACTTAAAGCCTTCAAGCACACCTACAAAAAGATATCAAGGAGACGGTTTAGGTACCCATGTATTGTTGGGTCCTTTTTGGTTAGCATATGTGCGATGTGTGTGCGTTTGTTGGAAATGCCTAATTTTGGTGAAGCACACGGGTGCAATGTGACCTATCTTATTACAATAATGGCAAATAACATTTGGATT